CCCTGGGAGTCACACATATGAGGTATATGGGATGGCCGCAGCCAATGTTCTAGACACGATTTCTGACGCGTTTTGCCCCACCCATCGGATTTGGCCTTTGTGACCTCTGTGGCCTTTCATCCCAGCATGTTACTTCTGTTTGAAGTCCATTATTTACCTGCAATGAAAACTAAGAAGAAGAAGACCATAGAGGAATTTACCAGACTAACGTGAAATTTGAGGGACCTGTTATGTAAGTTAATAAAACTTTTGCATTACTTTCGGTAACATCCTTGCATTTAGCAGTTATATTTGTCTGAACACTTCTGATAGTTGTAGTCATGTGTACAATATGTGACTGTGACTCAAAAGGGTGTAGTTGTTTTCTCAAGATATTGATTATCCAGTGCGAAAAAAAACACAGGTCACTGCACATAATGTGAGAGAGCCCTGTAATTGCAAATCTCTGTTCCAGAAAATCTAGACGTTTTACACGGAGGACTTCTAAACAAATGGGATTTCCAGTTTTCTCTGGAAACTCCCTTTAAAATCCAACAAAGATTTTTTTTTTTTGCAGAATTTCACCCAGTCAAAAAGCAGTGAGCGTTCTGCTCCTCTCCAATCAAGAGGTTAACTGCTCAGCCTTGTTTAAATTTACAAAAGAAGAGCGCAGACTTGGAGCTGCCTGGAAGTGCATACAGTACATCAATATTTAAGTAACCAGATCTAACTACAAGCCTACGAACGTTGAAGGGAGACTAAGACGACAAAAGCATTGCTCTTTAAGTGGCTCCTTAACACATCATCTTCAAACCTTTCTTCTTTTGCTAAAAGTCACGACCATTCACTCTCACAGCCTCCTGCTCCTAACAAATATTGGATTTTAACTTATTTTTCTAAGCTGGATTTAGTAAAAAGTGCCTGCAAATCCTATATACTGTTTGATGTTCCATGAAGAAGAAGCTGCTCAAAGAATTCTGGATTCTATGTATGGGTAAGTGAAAATGCGATCTGTTTTGCTGATTATTAACCACATGCCAGATACAACTATAGTAATTAGGGTTTGATCAAGGGAAAATGATATTGTGTGTGTGCTATAGAGATGGCTTGTTAGTATAGATAAGAACTTATATTTGCCTTTCTTCATAGCATCGGGATGCTACGTTGAATGATAAACAGATGATGGAATGTTATATGTCATGTTTACCTGAATTTGTGCATTTTCTTAGATGTGCTGCAAGATTTGTTTTCATTTTCAGATCTTATATAACAACCCTACCCATAACGATTTATAATTGGCATATCCAGACACTGGAAGAGGGCACAAGGTGGGGTCCCCAACCAATTTTTAGGGTCCATGGACAATTAAATTAATTTTACTGAGATCAGTTGGAAATGATAAATTTATTGAACTTAGAATAATGGTAACCAAACATTTGGGGCACCAACATAAGAAAACCCATCTATAGGTAAGGATTTATATATTATAGAATATCTACTTTATAATGGTAACCAAACACTTGGGGCACCAATATAGGCAGACCCATCTGTTGGGAAAGATTGATATAATATGTAAAATATACTTTGTAATGGTAACTAAAAACTTTTTGTACCAACATAGACAGACCCATCTGTTGGAAAGGATTGAAATAATATGTAAAATATACTTTGTAATGGTAACCAAACACTTGGGGCACCACTATAGGCAGACCCATCTGTTGGAAAGGATTGATATACTATGGAAAATATACTTTGTAATGGTAACCAAACACTTGGGGCACCAATATAGGCAGACCCATCTGTAGGAAAGGATTTGTATAATACGGGAAATATACTTTGTAATGGTAACTAAACACTTGGGGCACCAATATAGGCAGACCCATCTGTAGGAAAGGATTGATATAATATGGAAAATATATTTTGTAATGGTAACCAAACACTTGGGGCACCAATATAGGCAGACCCATCTGTAGGAAAGGATTTATATAATACAGGAAATATACTTTGTAATGGTAACCAAATACATGGGACACCAATATAGGCAGACCGATCTGTTGGAAAGGATTGATATAATATAGAAAATATACTTTGTAATGGTAACCATATACTTGGGGCACCAATATAGGCAAACCCATCTGTAGGAAAGGATTTATATAATACGGGAAATATACTTTATAATGGTAACCAAATACTTGGGGCACCAACACAGACAGACCCATCTGTAGGAAAGGATTTATATAATACAGGAAATATACTTTATAATGGTAACCAAACACTTGGGGCACCAATATAGGCAGACCCATCTGTTGACAAGGATTGATATAATATAGAAAATATACTTTGTGATGGTAACGAAACACTTAGGGCACCAACATAAGCATACCATCTGTAGGAAAAGATTTATAAATACAGGAAATATACTTTATAACAGCAACCAAACACTTGGGGCACCAACGTAGACAGACCCATCTGTAGGAAAGGATTTATATAATACAGGAAATATACTTTGTAATGGTAACCAAATACTTGGGGCACCAATATAGGCAGACCCATCTGTTGGCAAGGATTGATATAATATGGAAAATATACCTTGTGATGGTAACGAAACACTTAGGGCACCAACATAGGCATACCATCTGTAGGAAAAGATTTATAAATACAGGAAATATACTTTATAACAGCAACCAAACACGGGGCACCAACGTAGACAGACCCATCTGTAGGAAAGGATTTATATAATACAGGAAATATACTTTACAATGGTAACCAAACACTTGGGGCACCAATATAGGCAGACCGATCTGTTGGCAAGGATTGATATAATATGGAAAATATACCTTGTGATGGTAACGAAACACTTGGGGCACCAACATAAAGAGACCCATCTGTAGGAAAGGATTTATATAATACAGGAAATATACTTGATAATGGTAACCAAACACTTGGGGCACCAACGTAGACAGACCCATCTGTAGGAAAGGATTTATATAATACAGGAAATATACTTGATAATGGTAACCAAACACTTTGGGGCACCAACGTAGACAGACCCATCTGTAGGAAAGGATTTATATAATATGAAATGCTATATATAATTTTGAAATGGCAACCAAACACTTGGGGCACTGACATATACAGACCCATCTGTAAAGGAAGATTTACAAAGTAAGGAATATTTACTTTATACTGATAACCAAACACTTGGGGCACCATCATAAGTAGACCCATCTATAGGGAAGGCTTTTTATAATACTGAATATATTTAATAGTTACTGCGTGATGTGCTGTCTTCCAGTTTACGCTACAAATCTTTGTAAATTATTTCTCATTTATTTAGTTTCTTTTTTAAATAATCCAGCTAAATATATATTAGGAGACCTTTATCTAAAAGTAGGAGTTTTGTTAAATTTTTTCCATAAATTTTACAAATATAACCTTTTTCTTTCATTGGAATTTTGTCATGTGGCCAAAATGCATTGGAATCAACAGCAAAGGCAAAATATTGTGGGATTTTCTTACAATTAACTTTAAAGTACTCATGGGAGTTAGAGAAGCTCCTTTCAAGTATCCTGAAAATATTGTATTTTTTTCCATTTTATAATTTATTTTAGCTGGGTCTTCTTTAACTCAAAACTCCTGTCAAACAATAGTCTAATAAAAGATAAAGTTAAAAAAAGCTTTTGCATTACTCACCTTTAGTTCAGAGCTGTCCCCTAACCATAAATATTTTCATTCTTTATGGTTGAATGGTAACCAGAATCATTCAACCCACTTCCTTTGAGCCCAGGTAGTCAATGACCGACACTTGGCCTATACACTGGACAGTTAAGTAGAAGCAACACAGGGAAGAACACATCTTTCTGTCACATAGCTTTCTCCTCCTGCTCAGCACAAATGATTTGCTCCTTGTTCTGCTTTTTACGTCCCAGTGTAAACTCTGCTTTACAAGGTCTTTCCACTGCTTGTATTACAAAGAAAAATAAATGTAATGATGTTTTAATGAATACAGAACTATATTAATTTGCATATTTTATATTTGCCTAGAGTTTTGTTTTAGGAAACGTTTTTCTTTATAGCGCATTTGGTGTGAAAAAAATACATTGGTGTTTGTCAGTGACATGGCTTTGTTTATAAACAAAGCTTTGTCACTGACATGACTTAATTTGTAAATAAAGCCCCGTGATCACCATTTCAGTAACACGTTGGTCAGTGTCTCTGTTGATAAACAAAGCTATGTCAATGGCATGTATTCATTGTGTTTGAAGTCATTGACCCAAGGCAAGCATGTAAATCAGGAAAGTCAAAATGAAGTCAGAAAAGCCACTAAACTTGTGGGATATCATTAAAAAATACACTATATTGCTAAAAGTATTGGGGCGCCTGCCCTTACACGCACATGAACTTTAATGGCCTTCCCAGTCTTAGTCTGTAGGGTTCATTATTGAGTTGGCCCCGCCCTTTGTAGCTATAACAGCTTCAACTCTTCTGGGAAGGCTGTCCACAAGGTTTAGGAGTGTGTCTATGGGAATGTTTGACCATTCTTCCAGAAGTGCATTTGTGAGGTCAGGCACTGATGTCAGATGAGAAGGCCTGGCTAGCAGTGTCCCCTCTAATTTATCCCAAAGGTTCTATGGGGTTGAGGTCAGGTTATTCAAGTTCCTCCACCCCAAACTCACTCATTCATGTCTTTAAGGACCTTGCTTTGTGCACTGGTGTGCAGCCATGTTGGAATAGGAAGGGGTCATCCCCAAACTCTTCCCACAAAGTTGGGAGCATGAAATTGTCCAAACTGTCTTGGTATGCTGACACCTTAAGAGTTCCCTTCACTGGAACTAAGGGACCAAGCCCAACCCCTGAAAAACAACCCCACCATAATCCCCCTCCACCAAACTTTACACTTGGCACAATGCAGTCAGGAAAGTACCATTCTCCTGGAAACCGCCAAACCCAGACATGTCCATCGGATTGCCAGACAGAGAAGCGTGATTGTTCACTCCAGAGAACACGTCTCCACTTCTTTAGAGTCCAGTGGCAGTGTGCTTTACACCACTGCATCCAACGCTTTGCATTGCATTTGGTGTTGTAAGGCTTGGATGCAGCTGCTCGGCCATGAAAACCCATTCCATGAAGCTCTCTGTGCACTGTTGTTGTGCTAATATGAAGGCCACATGAAGTTTTGAAGGTCTTTAGTCTGTCTCTTTAGACAGTCTCTTTAGACAGTTGGTGACTTCTGCGCACTGTGCACTTCAACATGCCCTGACCCCACTTTGTCATTTTACGTGGCCTACCACTTCGTGGCTGAGTTGCTGTTGTTCCCAATTGCTTCCACTTTGTTACAATATTTAGCAGTAAGGAAATTTCACGAATGGACTTATTACACAGGTGACAACCTATCACGGTACCACGCTTGGAGTCACTGAGCTCTTGAGAGCGACCCATTCTTTCACAAATGTTTGTAGAAGCAGTCTGCCTGTCTAGGTGCTTGATTTTATACACCTGTGGCCATGGAGGGATTGGAACACCTGAATCCAATGATTTGGAGGGCTGGCCCAATACTTTGGGCAATATAGTGTATATAGGCTGTATTTTCTGGGCTGGAAAAGTAAAGTGAGAATGAACGCTAGGTAGCTGGTATTTTTGAAGGAAAGTTTAGCAATACAGCCTATGTATTTCTCTTAGTACAGATTTCGTTAAAATAATAAAAAAAAAAAAAAAAGCTTAGAACTTCTATTGGGCTGGGTTTAGGATTTAGGTTTTGAATTTTTAGGAATTTTAGAGATGTGTTAGTGCTAGGAAAATGATGTTGCTGTGTGTAACTTATGTAGCAAGAAAAATGTTTGACTATCTATGACCAATGTAATTCATTCTGCAAAGGACAGTATACAAAGCAGTGTCCAATATGGCAAAGTAATCAAGCACAACCCTTTGGCGACTGTTTTTCCTCTAGTGTCAAGTATAAAACAAAGTATATTGCAGCTTTTCTCAGCCTCTTTGCCTAGAAACCAATTTTAATAAAAACCAATTTATTGAAGGGGGGGGGGTCAATGGCAAAAATGCCCCTTACGTTGGAGGTTAATAGAAGGTATGCAACCCTCACAGTTGTGGGTAGAATGCCACCCATACAGACAGCTAAAAAGATAATTGGTGTCCTGATGATGGCTTTGTCAAGTGGCATTGGTTTGGAACTATGTGAGCACAATAAACTGGCCAATCAACCACAGCTCAAGAATGACAGGCAACCTCTGAAGGAACCCTGGTTGAGAATGGCTAGCATATTGTATGGTGACAAGTATACTTTACAGACTTTGGTAATAATACACACAATATATTTTTCTATTGTCATATATGATATACAATCCTATATATAGTGGCTAAGATGGTAGCACTTCCACCAAGCAGCACTAGGGTCATTGGTTCGAATCCCAACGAAGCCACTACCTACCTGCAGTTTGCATGTTTGCACAAGAAATTGAACACTAGTACAATGTACACCTTTAACCCCTTTATGACCACCCAACACACAGGGGTGGGCTTTAATGCCTACATGACTTAAATTTGTGTGGGTAGCACAGTGGCTTAATGGTTAACACTTCCGCCTGGCAGTACTAGGGTTGTTGATTTGAATCCCAACCACATCACCTCCTGCATGTTCTCCCTGTGCCTGTGTGGGTTTCCTCCGGGTACTCCGGTTTCCTTCCACACTCCTAAGATATGCTGGTAGGTTAATTGGTTCCGGCCAAAATCGGCCCTAGTATATGTATGTATGAATGTGAGTTGGAGATCTTAGATTGTACACTTCTTGAGGGCAGGGACTGATGTGAATGTACAATATACATATGGTATGTAAATCGCTGCATAAATTGATGGCGCTTTATACGTAGCTGAAATAAAATATATATATATATTCCTTAGTATAAGTGAGCAATCTATCATTGTTGTACCCCTAAATGTATTCTGAATTTCATCTGCGAGTTTCTCCCAAACAATTGAAAAGGGAGTTTGGTACACCATCCCCCTTTAAAAAATAAAGAAATAACTGTGACTTTCAAAAGGCAAGCAAGGGACACAGGACTAGTCGCCAGTGTTACTTGTAGGCTCCCTGCAGCTGTTTTTATCCCCAATACTGACTTAGGGCTAGTTCACACTAGATGCAGTTCAATGCGCTTTTTTTCTGCATCAAAAATACATGCACAGTGTTTTCCATGTTTTTCAATGGCCCTAGTTCACTCTAGTGTAGCCAGTTTCAGTCAGTTTCCAGTGCAGAAAAAAAAAAGAACATGTTGAATTTTTTCTGTACAGAACTATATTGGAATATGGCAAACTGCATCAAAACTGCACCGAAATTGCATGTGGTGTGAACTGTAAGCAAAAACGTATCCAGAATGCATCCAGAGTGCATTTTTGTAGTGTGAACTGGCCCTTATTGTATTTATTTATTATTGGTATTTTTATAGCACCAATAATTTTCAGTGCTTTACATATATTTTGTGCATTCACATCAGTCCCTGCCCTCAAGAGGATTCCAGTCTGAGGTTCCTAATTCACATTCTTACATATGTATAATAGGGCTAATTTACCTACCAGCATGTACTGGAGTGTGGGATGAAATCAGGCAATGGAAGGGAAGCTCTTCACCATCACAGGGAGAGCATGCAAACTCCAGGCAGGTCGTGTCACGGTTGGAATTGGAACTGATGACCCCAATGCTGCCAGGCAGACGTACTAACCACTGTGCTGACTTACCTTGCCTAGTTCTGTACTGTGTCCCCGTACAGGAGCGGCCATTAAGATAGAGCTTCCGCCTCGTGATCTTATAACTGGTGGAGGAAATATTCAAGAAGAACTGTAAAAACAGGTCCACAGAAAATCGAAACAGAAGTAGAGCGTTCGATTCTCTGCAGCTTTCTGTCCAACAGTGAGCAGTACAGTAATGTTTATCAACGAACTCATTTGGGCACATTATTGGATGACTGTGCAATTGCCAGTTAAAGTAGCACAGTACTGAATTGCAAAAAATGCTCTGGTCATGAAGGGGGTAAAACCTTCTGGAGGTCAAGTGGTTAAAAAGTGCACCAAAAACGCACCTCCCTATTGAAATGAATGGAATACGCTTTAAAAAAACATGGTGGTTGCATCTTCGGAGTTTTTTTTGAGTCACATCTCCATGTTTCCCAGCTGCATGATTAGCAACAAGAAAACAACCAAAAACGCATCAAAAACACACAGTAGCAGTGTGAAAGGGCCCTTAGATAGCAAAGCTATACATTTTAAGTTCAGATCCACTTTTGTATAACAAAGTGCCATAATTAGGAAGAGGGGGAGTGGCGGCCTGCACCGGATGCCACTACCAAGGCTGCATTCACACCACGTTTCTACCCGTTTTTTCAGGTATGTTGTCACGTGTTTGTATGCGTGTTTTTGAGCACTTTTGTACAGCATTCTCCAAAAAACTTTGGCGTTTTTATATTAACCAATAGAGAAAACTATCATCTGTTACATCATTTCTTGCTATGTGTTTTTGATTTCAGCTGCTTCAAAAATGCACCAATCTGCCCAAATCGAACTGCAAATGTAGCTACAAAAAATGTTTGAGCTGCAGGCCTTTGGCGTCAAACATTTTGGAATGGAGATGTGAAAGACCGCCATAGAGAATCATTGATTTTTTTTCTCTCTGAACATTTTGAGAGTCTTTGAGCTCCAACACATTGGTCAAAATGATATGCTAAGTTCAATATCTCTGCAGAAAGTTGCATCCATACTTACAGCTTCTGCTGTCCACCCTCCACTGGCTAATTCTGCTCCCACCTCCTAGTGTGCATGACATTTAATTTCATGATTGTTTGTTACCAAACATAATTTTGATAAATGAGGGGGTGTGTGAAAAATATGAACCTCTCTGGAGGCCAGAAATGCCATCTACACCACTAAACAAAAACTAAGACCTATAAGAATTAAGCTTGGTAGCCATATAACATTTTTCTTCATTCCTTTTTATGCTTTGTTTTTCAGGAGCACATGGTAAAATAGCTGGTGGTGACCATGGTCCATAAAAGCAAAACATTTTGGATTGGCAACTTTAAAGATCATGCCATTAACATAAATGTTGGAGGAATGAAGAAGCGGATTAGCTCCATCATGCTGTCTCAGTTTCCAGACACCAGGCTGGGACGACTGCTCTTCTGCGATTCTGAAGAATCCATCCTACAGATCTGTGATGACTACGACTTGGTGTCTAAGGAGTTCTACTTTGACCGAAACCCTGGCTTGTTCCCATACGTTCTTTATTTCTATGAGACAGGAAAGCTGCACATGATGGATGACTTATGCGCATTTTCATTCTCACAAGAAATTGAATACTGGGGAATAAGTGAATTTTTTCTAGACTCTTGCTGTAGCTATCGATACCACGAGCGGAAGTTAGAGAGTAGAAGACGGAACTGGGATGAAGAGAGTGAAGTGAGCAGTGTGGATACATCTGTGGATGAAATTTCTGACTTTAACCATGACCTCATGCACTTCAACACATTGCAGTGTGGCAATTTGCGGAAAAGGCTATGGCTGACTATGGAGAATCCCGGCTATTCGATACCGAGCAAAATTTTCAGCTTTATTTCCATCTGTGTAGTTATTCTATCTATATCAACAATGTGTATTAACAGCATGCCAGAATATCAACAATTTGACAAGGATGATGTTCCCATTGATGACCCTGTCCTCCACAATCTAGAGTATTTCTGTATCTCCTGGTTCACATTTGAAGTGTCTTCTAGGCTACTACTTGCTCCCAACCTGAAGAAGTTCTTTAAGCATCCATTAAACCTGATTGATATTGTGTCTGTTCTACCCTTCTACTTCACTCTTTTGGTAGACTTGACCATTGGCAGTGATCATGAGTTAGGAAATTTGGGTAAGGTTGTACAAGTGTTTCGACTTATGAGGATTTTTCGAGTCCTCAAACTGGCACGACATTCAACTGGCCTTCGGTCACTTGGAGCAACGCTTAAGGTAAAATACTATGTAAATTAAGTTTATAATTGTCTTTAATTTTCACAACGACATCATCTAAAAGTATTGAGCAATATGGTAGATTTTAAGTCACAAAATAGAATACCAACTCTGACGGAATACCATCTGACTTGGAAAATATGCACAATTTGTACATTAAATCGTATCTAAATCTAAAAACTATTATGTAATATATTGCAACTTACCAATCCTTACTTAGTTGTGGTGACTGATTTAGTTTTTAGGATATTTTTCTTTTATTTTCATTTAGTGATCTGACCAGTAACACACTTTCTGTCTTAAGTTGGCCATACACTAGTAGAATTTTGCTCAAAATGTTTTAAGTTTGTTCTGTTTTTTAATTGTTAGTGGGGGTCAAATCAACGGTGGCTTTCAGCTGTAGTGAAATGAAAATTCGAAGGGGAAGGATAATTTTTCCAGAATTAACAAATTTTTAAGTGAATGTGGTATTCATTCCAGGAAGTCTATTTATTTAAAAAAAAAAAATGTTTAAAGCAAACGAAACTTTGAAATATTTTTGGATGATGTTCATTAAAGACATCGAATGTACAAATTTTTATATGAATGTTCCTTCAAAACTCTACTAGTGTATGGCCATCTTTAGGGTGTCTCCCCTATCTACAGAGGATCAGTGGAGACACCCTTGACATCAGCATTGTCTGGAAAGGGTGTGTTAAATGGACTGTTAGATTTAGATGGACTTTACATAACTAACAAATAAAAGCTGAACTCCAGCTAACTCTCTTTTTTAAGCAGTTAAAGTTTTTTTTCTTTGCTTTTTGGGATAAGGGATTTATATAAATGAATTAAAGCAGACAATTGTAAGCACCCTTGTCAGTGTTAGATGGTTTGTCTAACTCTCCAACTACCACTTTTGCTGGACAGCTTGGTCTGTTAACGGAAGTTGAAAATAACAGACTTACAGGCTAAAAAAAAAAGCTGCATATAAAGTAAAAAAGCCCAAAAAAGAAAACGAACGTAAACACCACATTTAAGGGATAAGGGATTTATATGAATGAATTAAAGCTGACAATTGTAAGCACCCTTGTCAGTGTTAGATGGTTTGTCTCAACTCTCTAACTGCCACTTTTGCTGGACAGCTTGGTCTGTTAAAGGAAGTTGAAAGATAACAGACTTACAGGCTTAAAAAAAAGCTGCATATAAAGTAAAAAAGGCCAAAAAAGAAAACTAATGTAAACATCACATTTAAGGGATTTATATAAATGAATTAAAGCTAACAATTGTAAGCACCCTTGTCAGTGTTAGATGGTTTGTCTCAACTCTCTAACTGCCACTTTTGCTGGACAGCTTGGTCTGTTAACGGAAGTTGAAAGAAAACAGACTTACAGGGTTAAAAAAGCTGCATATAAAGTAAAAAAGTCCCAAAACGGAAGTTGAGAAAGAAAACAGACTTACAGGGTTAAAAAAAAAGCTGCATATAAAGTAAAAAAAACCTAATATAAACACCATATTTAAGAATCGGTAAGCTGCAACATATAACATTTTTGCTTTTGGATTTAATTCCACTTTAAGTAGCAGAGGAAAACTAAAATTCATCCATAAAAGTATTGTAACTTCAGACCACGGGGCACCTTATAAAAACATTGCTGTGCCCCTCTCTCTTCCTCAATGACCTCTCTCAATATCAATGATAACAATATGTGTCACTGATCTTAACATAGGATATCCAAATGAAGGACAAGTAGCAGGAGAGCCATAAATTGCAAAAAAAGAAATGAACAAAAAAATGTAGTAGTAACAAAGTAACAATAATCATCATCATCATCACAATGTCATGCTATATTATAAAATAATTGGTAGCGCTCCTACACACAAATACACTACAACCCTAACGTATACTTTTTTAGAGCCCATTCAGACAATGAATTGGGTAATGCTATGCTTTAATATCACATATTATCTGCAATTCATTTTCAGTTGGGCTGCAATGCACCTTAAAGCACTACAAGGCACACCTGGCATTTTTTTTGCCTAGCACACCACACCACATAATACGTACAATAGCTGCTTCTGTAATAGTCCATTTGGGTACCCTTCAAAATGAATGTTAATGCTCTGTGGTTCCCATGCTTGTGGCATTGGTTTACTGATATAGGTGCAACAATCATTCTGGTGTCTTGGGCTCAAAGGAAGGGGTTTAAATGACACCAATAGGGTGAGTATTGCCACAAAAGTAGTTTACTTTTATTTTTTCAGCCTCTTTCACACACAGGGCCCCATTAGGCTCATCTGTCAGTTTTTCAGGCGGACTGGACCTGACCATCCAATCTGCCCTATGGACTGGGAGGTTTAAACAGACTAGTGTCCATTTACACCCGTCTACCTCCAATCCAAAAAAAAAAAATGAAGGATCTGTCCACCGCCATCTAGGGTGATCTGAGGGCAGCCGGTTGTAAACGGACATCGGAATCTGTTTACTCCCGTCCGCCCATAGAGCACAGTGGGCTGTGTATATGTCCGCTCTGCAGAAACTGAGTGGACGCGGATGTGTCATCTGCCCACTATGCTGTGATAAGCAGGGGATCAGCGGACAGATCCCCCGATGATCATTTTCCTTATCCTTCCTTTACCATTTATTGCGTCAATAAAATGGAACAAGCACATGTCAGGTGTTCTGACAGCTAACATGCATGCAGGAGTGGACTGACAACTTATGGGGCCCCCGGGCAATAGGGGATCATGGGGCCCCTGTGTCCTTGCCCACACTCAAAAAAGCCTATAAAAAAGGTACCAGGGGCATTTCATGGGGCCCCCTACTGACCCCGGGTCCTCGGGCAGTGTCCGAGTGCTCGAATGGTCAGTCCGCCCCTGCATGCATGTATTTGTACCAGGTCACTCCCGAATGATGAAGTTGACTGTCATGCAGCATGCACCTTTAAAAACAATATTATGAATCCTTTCATTGGAAATAATAGTAGAGTAAAATAAGTAATATGGTAGCAGTTGAATGACAAAGAACAACCCCCATATTTTTTTTTTGTTTTGTTCTGGGTTTTTTTTCTTTGCTCAAATTGCTATACAGGAAAATGTTATTCACTTGTAGTATAAGCCATTTAAAGCTACTCTGTGGGCTGTCCCCAAAACACCCCAACCTCTCCAAAGAATCACTGCCATAAACAAAGAGTCTTCTCACTCCTTCTTTGTACAGGTGGCAGTGTCCTTCTTTGGATTCCATATATACCCGCAGATATGCTTTAAATTATAAAAGCTCTTTGTAACCATGTACCCACATGGAAGAAAAATATATTTGAATATATTTGAAAAACATTCTTCCCAAATATATTGACATATATTTGAAATACTACAATTTTGGCCATATTCAATATATTTTAAAATATATATCAATACATATGTATATATATCTATCTATATATATATATATATATATATATATATATATATATATATATATATATATATATATATATATATATATATATATACACTGCATGCTGAAATGCATTTTTTTATATATTACAAAATATATGAAAAAAATATTTTTACATTTTTTTTAACACATAAAAAAAGTCATTTTAACATATATTTTTACATATATTTGTAAATGCATTCCAAAAATGTAGATTAAATGTATTTTTAAAGACATACAGCATATTTCAAAAAACAAAATTTTTAAATATTTTTCATATATTTTTTAATAAAAATGCATTTTAACATACCGTATATATATATATATATATATATATATATATATTGAATACGGCCAAAAATTGTAGTATTTCAAATATATGTCAATATATTTTTTTTCTATGTGGGTACAACTATGATTAGAAAATGTAGTCAAGGACTTTGTGTGGATATATAGAAGACAGTACCATAAAAACGACTTTATTATGTACCATTAAAATCTATTACACAACATTAAAATGATTCTAGACATAGGGGTTCACATCATGCAAAGCTTCTGATTACAGTTTACATGTGGACGTGCGTTTTGGGAATCTTTCTTCAGGAACACATGTGAACGAATCAGTACACTGGAACCCACTTCTAATCTTTAATATCTGTCAGTAGGTTAGACTGGAATTCATAGCATGTGCATGGTGCCCATAGAGGTGAATATGAGTAAGCCAAGGTGAAGCCACTGCCTCTCAGGTGGGAAATTCAGGTACATTCAGTAAACAGCCAATGGTTTTGTACACATAATCTTCAAATAGAAGGACGAGCTTCCCAATGAGGAATCATCTAGACCCAATTTAAGTAAGTCACCATAAAGACAGCATGGTAGTCCAGGTAGTCAAGGCACATATATTCAAGGCGGCTCTTGATAAGTACCTTAGAAATAAACTCAGATCACATCAATCCAGCCTATGTGAACTGAGTTTGTTTCTAAGATACTTATTAAGAGTGTCTCTTTGGAATATATGTGCCTTGGCTATCTTAACTACCATGCTGTCTTTATGGTGACATTGGGTCTGGATGGTTCCCCATTGGGAAGTTGGTCCTTCTATTTTAAGATTATGCATACAAGACCATTGGCTGTTTACTGAATGTACCTGAATTTCCCACCTGATAGACAGTGGCTTCACCTTGGTTTACTCATATGCACCTCTATGGGCAACGTGCACATGCTATGAATTCCAGTCTACCCTACTGGTTGATATTACTAAAGATTAGGAGTGGATTCCAGTGTACTGATTCTCTCACATGTTCTCCTGAAGAAGGATTCCTGAGATGCGTTGAGTCCACATGTGAATTTGCATGTTGTGAACCCCTATGTGGAGAGTAATTTTTAATGTTGTGTAATTGATTTTTAATGGTATATAAAAAAGTTGTTTTTATGGTACTGTGGTATATGTCCACACCAAGTCGTTGACTACATGTTTTAGTCATAGTTGTACATGATTTGCTGAGATGTAGACATATAGCACAAACGATCTTGGTTTCTCTCCCGCTATAGCTCTTTGTAACTAATGTTTTCCCTGGGGTTTTTTTAGCTG